GATTGAAAGAAGGCAAAGCGTTACGAGAGAGTTCACTCATGAAGTAGATAGATTGAATCGCCAAGATAAAATTTGAGGTTAATTCACAATTGGTTGCTGAAGTTAAAGTGAAATTATTAGTTGGAAGTTAAAAGGGAAAATCTTTTTTGGTCCTTGGAAAGGGTTTTCTTTTCACCAATGTTAGTCACTCAACCATTAATAAAGTTCAATAACAGAATTAGTAAAAAGAAAACCTAAATGACCAACTTGAATTTATGACCATTTATGAAAGAATAATGATATTTATCTCCATTTGAAATTATCATGACGTGATATTAAATGATAAAACTAAGCGTATATCTAGATAACACTAAAAAAAAAATTCATGTTACCCAAAAATGCCTATGCGTCAAGGAAATAAGTGAATAATGTCATGAAATATAGAGGGTGTGCTAGACATCTTGTAAGTGTTATGCCCTAAATCCAATCGATTTAGGTTGTAAACGCTTTTAATATGTTTAATGTATTTGATTTTGGCGAGATCTATTATTTATTTAAATTAATTTTATGATAAATAATATTAAATAATAAAATCCGAAGATCCAATTTTAAGTGATCTGTTAATCACAAGGAGTTGTGATTGTGAGATACAAATTACATATAATTGGATTTTGAATAAACCGTGGTCGTAAGTAATAACGAGATACGAATATCGTTAATACAGTTAGACCATCACGTGTGACATTTCTTACTTGTGAAGTAAGTAGCTGATCTCACGAGTTAAAGTGTGGTGACATTTAAATGAACACGTGGATGTTTTGTTATAGAACAAAACATTGGAGACCTGCTAAGAGATTCCACAGGATAACTATCTGAGTGTCAGTGGTTAATCTCTAACGTTCGGTAATGAAATTGGTCCTACAACTTGAGGTCATCATAGTACCTTATATGAGGACAGTCATATTTTGACGGTGTTGGATGTTGCTCTACCAATGGCTGCTAATACGACATCGTTCGGGTATATCAAGAACCATATGAAGGTTGTGAATAATCAATAGAGGATTCGTCACTCTTAGATAGTAAGAGATTGTGATCTGCATTTCATTCAATTAAGTCAATAACGAAATCCTTGGCCAAGGTGTGCATATAAGTCTAAAAGGAGTTTTCGACTCATATTGACTTAATAGAAAAATGAAAGATATGATCGATAATCGAGATTGACACACTTCCATATCTCGTAGTTGATCAGATCATATTGATAAAGGGATTATAATTTCATGGTAAACGAACAGTTTTGATTTTGTCATACCACGTGACATTTTTCGTCACACGTGTTGCCCTGATACATTGCTAAACGTCAATCTGGGACGACGAGTGTGAATCTGTGATAAATTAAAAGAGTGTTTAATTTATCAGTTTTGATTAGATCAAAATAATATTTCACGTCATTAGGCATCGTGGTCGGGAACCTAATGGGTCGCACACAAAAGAGAATTGATAGGTTGTAAATTCCCAATTGATTAATTTAACAATCGTTGGATAAATTAATTAATTGAATTTGTTATTTATATTCCCGAATTAATTAATTGGATTGATTAATTCACGGATCGGGTTTAATTAAATTGATTAATTAAACAATGGACTGGACCGGACCGAGCCCGTTTGGGTTTACATAAATACATGACTAGGGTTTGAGGTCCATCAGTTTTTCATTATTCTTACTGGTACAAGAGGAAAATCCTAGCAGTTACAGTCTATTCTCTGTGTGGATTTTATTGGAGGTTGGATAATTGGACAGCTATGGGAGGCAGATTCAAGCTGTTGGAGAGGAATAACGCGAAGGAGTTTGCAAATTAAAGAAAATGTATATTTCTTATCACAGTTTTTATTTAAATATAAAGCTAAATCCTGAATAGGAATTGAAATTTGTTAAATTCCGCTATGCATGTTTAAGTAAATTCCCAACACATCTTTTATTTATTTTTTTATAATTTATCTCAACTCTTAGTGCATCCCCTCTCTTATTCATGTGACTTCATAAATGCATTGGAGATGCTCTTTTTGCTGTTTCTATTTTTCTTGTCACATGTACAACAATCCATTATGCTGCATTGGAGAGGTTCGACTCTGAATTCTGATAAAAAAAGAAAGTTATATTAATTGTTGAAATGGATTTTGTTCATAAAATCTCTTCTTCAATGAGATGGACAATGTCAACAGGTAATGCTATTCATAGTGAGGTGATTGTATGCTTTAAATTAAAGACTTTTGATCTATGTAACATTAATAAATAAGAATTAGTATTTTGAATTTGATCTCTTACAAGTTCTATTTATAATCCAAATTTCATCTTTAATGTATATTTTATGTGGGGGGGGGGGGGGGGGGAAAAGGGGAAAAATTTTTTTTTTTTTTTTTTTTTTTGAGTAAATTGGAGAAAAAAGAAAATAAGAAATGAGAGAGAGAAATTATGGTGAGTCAATTCATCTAATAGAACATTTACATCTTGATAGTCCTCTTGATAATATTTGAGGATAATTGTAGTAGAGGTTTCAAACTTTTTAAATATTAGCAGACTTTATTTAAACTTTTAATTTGTCACACTCGTCACCTCCAAACCTTTCGAAACATTGCAGTCGAGGTCCCATTAGATGGAAAACATCCAATTTATCGTTAGTTGACTAAAAATAAAGTTTGACCACATTTTTAATATTTTTATAAATGGCAAAATAGTAACTTTTTATTTACCAAATTAAATAAATACATTAATTAAATTTAAAAATAGAAAAAAATGGAAAAATGGGCTTCTTCGTCCTCCCGCCTCTACCCTAACCAAAATCTCCACCACCACCTCTCCCTTCGCCCTTCACTCGCCAGTCACCCAACACCATGAATGCTCTACATATTTCTTAAATAAAATTTTCCCAAATTAGTTTTGCATAAAGAATTCTTAAAATAGAATATGATATTCCTCCTGAGTCAAGTCGGCCAAGAATATGATGCCCAAAGATGGCCAAGGCACGGCCAATGCACATGTGACCGTGGACTGTCGATTTCAAGGGCCAATGACGCCATACCAAGACAATTTTCGGGGATCTTAATTCTCAATGGGGCGAGAAGCTCTTAAGATTGCTGAGAGCATTTTTAAGAAATCTAGTGAAGAAGTGTCTTTGATTTTCTATTCGTTGGAGATCTAGAAGTGTTTTCTCTCAGATTAAAGGGGAAATTGGGCTTAAAGTGTTTTCTCTCAAATTTGGAGCCGAACCAAAGTGGAGGAGACGGAGAGAGAGATTTAGCCAACGAGGCCAAATGGTGGCATCTTCGGGCAAGACATGGTAGAGAAAGGTGGTGATTAGGAAGATTTGTATCTCTTTTTGTTCATTGGGACTGTGGTGTTTTTTCGGACAGTGGAGGGGATGGTGGTGGTTGGTTATCTCCCTAGGAATGAGAGTGGGAGGAAGAAGAAACCCTTTTTTTCCTTTTTTTTTTTTTGGTCTTTAAATTTATTTAATAATTTTATTTAATTTGGTAAATAAAAAGTTACTATTTTGTCTTTTATAAAAATATTAAAATTGTGGTCAAACTCTATTTTTTGGTCAACTAACGGTAAATTGGATATTTCCATCCATTGGGACCTCACCTATAACGTTTTGAAAAAGTTTTTGGGTGACGGTTGGAACAAATCAAAGGTTTAGGAAAAGTCTACTAATGTTCGAAAGGTTTGGGGCCTCTACTGCAATTATCCCTAATATTTATTTATTTTCTTGCCCCATTAGTTGGACATATTGCATTGGAGATGTATTTTTATAGATATTGTCTCTTATATTTATGTGATAATTTTTTTTTTTTTAGTACAATCCTCATCAATATTGGAGACGCTCTTAAAAGTTTTGTCGAACTACGGGGAGAGAGAACGTATAATGAGCGGAAAAATATTATTTATATGCTCTTAGTCTTAGAAATGAGAATTAGATATTGAATAATTCTATCTATATACTGAATTGGGGTGTTGAAAATTGTCCCCCCTCTCAACGCACACAGGCCCACGTAAATATAAAATTTTCCAAATGCGATTCCCACCCTCTATTGTGAGTGGTAGGCAAAGGATTGATAAAAAACTTATATATAAGTAGCATTGTCCTTAAATAATAGAAAGAAATATTAAAGACTTGTTTGCAACTTCACAAATTTACTCATTAAAAACCTCTTTTGAGCTCCTTTTTCTTTTTTTAATCTAAAATGTATTTTGGAATATTATTTTTGACGAAGAATGTGTGGTAAAAGTTTTGGATTTGCATGCAATATTATTTTATTGAAAAATATGTTGTTGAAAATAAAAAAGAGAAAAATATATTTTATAAATAATGGGAGCCAAACAAATGCTAAATATCTTTGTTACATTACATAATAGGAGTTCGTCTATTTAACTATTATGTAAATTAAAATTTATGGAATGCATTGAAAATTCTCTAATAAAGTGAGTCTTGCATGAGTAAATGTCAAAAATGCTATTTGTACATTATTTTTTTTTACATCAGTTTTCACACTTTCTCACAAAGGTGGGGTCCAAGATTATTTTAATCGTGGACCCCACCCACTTACATGTGTGTGTGCTGTGAAAAAAGTGTACTCGTAGAGTGGTTGGAGTAAATGTTACATGTACGATAATGAGACATAAAATAATATTATTAATAAAAATATCTCATATTCATATTCAATCCTCGTTTGATTATCATTTTTATCAAAATGTTTTTTTTTCCACTTTAACCACACATTCTTCATTAAAATAATTTTATACATAAATCAAATATTTTTCTTTATATTTCATCCACATATTCTTTATTAATTTACTATTCTAAAATTCATTTTCTCAACAAAAATGGTGTCACCCTCTTATTATTTCTATCACGTCACATGATATAATCCCACTACCCTTTGACCGGACCGGACCGGACCGGACCGGTTATCAATGGAGTTAAATGGCATTGTTCTTTGTGAAATTAATTGGATAAAATGTACAACTCCTCAAGCGGAACGTACAAAACCGTACACATGATCTCCTCTATAAAAACCCAGAAAGAAAGAGCCAGACACGGATTAATTACAGCAGGGGGAGCCATGGAAGAGGAAGCCATGCTGAAAAAGGAAGAAGAAAATGATGACGAAGAAGACGGAAAAGGAGAAGAAGAAAAGGAGGAGAAATTGATGCAGAAAAGTACTATTAACAGAATAATAATGGAGGAAGTAGTTCGTAGGCTTGGGAATGGAGATCTGAAGGAGAAAATAGAGGCCGCCATGGCCATAAGGAAGCTGGTGAGGAAATCCAATTCCAAATCCTCCAAGAGTGTTGTACGCTCTCGCTTGGCCTCGGCGGGTGTTATTGCCCCACTGATTTCAATGCTTCAGCCTTCCTTCCCTCTGTCCGCCCGTGAGCCGGCCCTCCTCGCCCTCCTTAATCTCGCCGTCCGCAATCAAAGGTTTTGAGTTTCTCCCCTCTTTCAATTACTGCTTGGGTTAAAATTCTGAGTTAATTAATGGAAAGAGACTTACGATGGAATTGAACACAATTTTCTGTTTAGGAGTTTGCCAAAATTTGTACCGATTCTTTATACATGCACATATATGTCTGGGTGTATAAGTGATTATATTTGAGATATCTGTTGCCCTTTATTTATTTTAGTTTTACGGTATTTAAAGCTTTATAAAATTGGACATTGGATTGGGTTGTTAGGCTGGGGGATTGTGCAGTAGAGGATTGTTGTCTATCTAAATTTTCGGTATTGAGTTCAGGGAACCAGTAAAGAATTTCTAGAATGATTCTCCAATGGTTGGAACAGGATCCGATGCTAATTGATGTAGAAAAATAGAAGACAGAATATAAACAAGAGAATATGGGAGAAAATGTCCAAATATATTTAATATAACAAGCATAACAAAGTTGAGGGTGTTTTCAGCCATCATGCTGTGCTAGAAAGGTATTTCTTGTACCTTCAGTGACATACTGTCTTTTAAGTTTACGGCAGAGATGCTGGGGCACTATTAACCTCAGATGTCAACCTCAACGACGCCTCTATTAGTAACCTTATCAATAAGCAATGTGTAGAATCCATGATGCACCTCTATCATTTGGGAGTCCTTAATGGAATATTGTTCGGCTAATACATCTTTTGCTTCCTCAAAACCATGTCAGGGTCTCTCAAAAAATGTTCTAGGTACCCATTAAGTATAGTTAAATTGTCTTTTAATGGTTTTGAAATTAATTTGTAGGTTTTTTAACTTTGGTTGAGGGTTTCAACTTTTTTGTCAAATTGTTAGGCAAGATTATTCGAGTTCAACAAGTTTTATGATGAAATTAAATGGTGATAAGGTAGAATCAAGGATAATGTTGAGCTTGTGAATTACAACAACCGATTTCAAAATATGTCTTTCACTATTGCACCAAAAAAAAAAAAAAAAAAATGTAGGAAGAAAAACTTAAAACAAAGATTTATGTAGTAACTTGATAAGAAAATACAGCAAGAGTTAGGGGAATGTAAAATACAAAACAAAGGGGAAACAGTAATTGGAGAGAAAATGAAAGGATTCAAATATTTTCTTTTTCATGATTTTAATTTTTGAAGATAATAGGACGGATTAAAAAAAAAAAGGAAAAAAAGAAAGTAGACATGAAACCGGAACCCTGTTTGTTAATACTTGCTTCAAAATGCTGGAACGATCCCATGTTATTGGGATTCTGCTCTCTACTACTCTTAATACATGAGCGGGTCTTAAGATCTTCATATTGAAATTCTGAGCAAACTGATAGTCGACAAGGAGAGGTAATCTTTGGCCCTAATTTGGCTGAAAAAGTCCTCGATCTAAGAAAGTGTTGAAGGAATATCTTGGATAATCGGCAAAAGCCCAGGAAGAAATACCTGGGGAGAAGCATGTGCATCAACTGTCATTGGGGGGTGCTTTGAGTACACAGCACGTTGTTTGTGCTGTTCACACGGATATTATGGAAAAGTCTTAATTTTTTTAACATGGGTTCGACTGATGGGAAGAAGAAACTCTAATGCAAATTTACGTTGAATGGTGAAGAGATGAGAGAAGAATGAGAGAAATTTAAAATATACTGCATATCACAAATTGGTATCTTATTATAATGCGTCATATTTATATGTAAAATTTCCTAACAAAAATGAAACTTACTAAAATTAATTGTAAAGAATGTCTAACTTAAAAGATTAATAATTATTGCAAGTACTTTTCAAATGTACGCACAGTATGTGTTTTTGATATGGAATCCCCCATTCAAGAATGTAATCTTCCACATTAAGAATATAGTCTCCGACCTCAAGAATGGAATTTCCACCAGTTAGATTTTTATAATAACCTGACCAATTTGATCAAACCAAATGAACTTTGAACATATTGGTTTAGCTGGTTTAATAGGTGGAAACTGTCATCCCCTTTTCTAAACACCTCCATTGTGGCCTGTTAGTGTTTCAGTTCCTTGATATTTTGCTGCTCATGTTTTTATTCAACACTCATCCTGATCTTTGCAGCTAATTTCACTTATTTGCTTCTTTCATTCAAATATATCAGAAACAAGATCAGGATAGTTACATCTGGTGATGTTCCTACTCATGTGGAGTCGTCAGTGTGAGGTTACATGAAATGGTTAAGCTGAATTCATTTGTTTGACAGGATGTTCTTGCATCGATTGGCAAATCTATTTTTCCCCCTCAATCTTAATAAAAGATTTTTTAGTCGAAGGGTAATTAATTCTTGCATTTTTGGATGTTGCGTGATCAACTTTCTGTTTGTGCAGTCCTCTTTTATTTGCAAAGTATTTGCTTGATGCAAATGCAGTTAATTTCACTTGTTGGCTTCTTTTATTCACATATTTATCAGAAACAAGATCAAGATTGTTACATCTGGTGCCATTCCCCCTCTTGTGGAACTCCTCAAATTTCAACTTGGCAATTTGAGAGAGTTGGCAGCTGCCGCAATTCTGACATTGTCATCTGCTGCACCAAACAAGCCAACAATAGCAGCTTCTGGAGTTGCACCTCTTCTGGTGCATGTCCTGTGCTCTGGAAGTGTGCAGGGAAGGGTTGACGCTGTCACTGCTCTCTACAATCTTTCCTCCTGTGAAGAGGATCCTAAGCTGGTTCTTGATCCTGAAGCAGCCCCTCCTTTAATCGATCTCCTCAAAGAGTGCAAGAAGTATTCCAAATTTGCTGAGAAAACTACTGCATTACTCGAGATTCTCTCTAATTCAGAGGACGGAAGAATTGCAATCACAAATGTAGATGGTGGAATTTTGACTTTAGTGGAGACTGTTGAAGATGGATCTCTAGTTAGCACGGCACATGCAGTCGGAGCTTTGCTGTCCTTGTGCCAGAGCTCTCGAGATAAATACAGGGAACTTATTCTTAGGGAAGGTGCCATACCAGGCCTTTTGCGTCTAACTGCAGAGGGTACTCCCGAAGCTCAAGACAGAGCTCGAATTCTTTTGGACTTGCTTAGGGAACCTCCTCCAGAAAATAGGTTGACTTCCTCTGTATTGGAGAGAATAGTTTATAACTTTGCAGCACACGTCGATGGAACGGATAAAGCTGCTGAAACTGCCAAGAAATTGTTACAAGACGTGGTTCAGAAAAGTATTGAGAATAGCTTGAGCCATATGCAGCTTAGGGCGTCTTCTCCCTTCAAAGATTCAATCAATTGAAAAATCAATCAACGTGAAGAATCATTTGGTTCCAACGGGTGTAGACAGTAGACCAATGAAGTAAACTAGCCAGGAACTTTTAGCACGGACCAAGTTTTTTTTTGTCCAGATAAACCTTGCATCCAACTGATACAGAATTTGAGACTGAAGGCTGTTAGTACTTCCCCGTCTCCATAAGGTGATTTCCACGAGCTTTCTGGGAATTGTATATTTTTTTATCCTTTATTGAAAACGTGTACAAGTTACTTGTATATTTCTTTCTAGTTTCAATAGGAGATTCTGACATTTTGATTGTGTAGTTATCTGGTTCTGTCTCTTGGAGTTTAAAGGTGAACATGCCTCCTGGTTCTACTTTCTTTGAGTCCAAAACTCTTGACCATTTTTGCCGCATCCTTGTGCGGTGATGATGTTCGTTGACCTTACCAGGCTTTGCATATTTTTGACCTGGAATTTTGTTCCCTGTATTATTCTATTATGTTTTCAGTGGCAGGAGGGAAGACATTGCTAGATGATGGGGTTATATGATCTCTCTTCTTTCATCTGTTCAAAAACTCTATTTGAGCTTATTCTTTCGTATCGTAACATCTGTTGAGCTTTATCATTAAATCTTAGTGCGTCCGGTTTCGTCTTGCTGTAAGAATTTGTGATAATTTCAATTGTATTTCCTGTTGAGCGAGTTTCGTAGTTATACATTCTGTTGGCAGAGGAAACAAATTGGTTCATTCGTTTGATTTGTGCTTTGTATGCAGGTGTTTTTTTTTTTTTTTTAATTGGTAAATGGAAAATTATATAGATCAAAACTCATGTACAAGTACATCGGACATACCAGTACTTACAAAATCCTTACTAAATCATAAGATGTACCAACAACACGTTTTGACGACCCAAAGCTAGGGATTCAAAATGGATCAAAACATTAGGATACAATGTAAACATAGTTTTGTTTACATGTGTTTTGATCCGTCTCACAATACTATTGGAGTGTTGCCTAAGATCTTCAAATATTAGTCTATTCTTGCCATCCAAATATTGTAGATGGTACTAGCTGGTGTAATTATCTTTGCTTTACCTTGCCAAGAAGTCTATCGAGCCTTCTTTTTAATTCACTTTAATGGGCTTGTTAATGTAGACATTGAGCGTGTAATACCCATCCACTTTCAGATCTGCCCTCGCTAGAACGCACTAAGTGGACAGGCAAAGAGTAAGTGCTGGCTGATTTTCACCATCTGCCCACAAAAGATGCAATTTCTATCAATCTCTAGGTGCTGATAAATTCCAAACATCCGCTGACCAAGTTTTCATATATGTGGTGTTTGTTTTCTTCTGTGTTGGATCAGGCCATAGTTCTGGTCTGACTGTTGCAGATGGCAACAAAAAGATAGATTGACTCTCAATCTTGTGGAGGATTTTAGGGTAGACCAATGAAGCTAGCAGAAGTAAAAGATACTTCGATTATGAGGAAGTTTGGGTTGGTGGAGCCGGATAAATGCTAGTATAGAGTGCGTGAAGGTGAGACGAAAGCTGTCGTCCACGACCTTGGAATATGATACTGTTGTTAGGTATCATTTGGCTTTCTGCAACTTCCTCAATGAGGAATAGGGATTTTTATCGCTCTATAGGGATTTGTCGGTATGAGATAACTTAAACTTATTTGAACTTAAAGATTTATCGATGTGCACATAGTAAGTATTCTTACTTTATCATTCGCAAGTGGGAGATGTTCGAGTTATGTTTTGCCTGAGGTGATAGGCTAACTCTTCATGCAATCTCTCTTTTAATTACACAACGAATTAATGATTCTCGCTTAAATAAGAAGAACCCACAAAAGATTGAGACTACCATTCAATTCATTAGAATATAGAAAAGAAAATTAACAATATTGTCATTCTTGAAAACATCAGGACATTTTAGTCAACAAAAATGTCATTATTTTCACACAGTAGATAAGGAAAAGAACAAAATTGAAAAAAGTTGAGATAAGATTTGAGCTTTGATAGCTATTTATTTTTTACTTAATCCAAACCTTAAAGCCGTACGACTCGTTGAGCCAATTCGAATTTAAGTTTCAAGGTAAGACAAGTTACTGTTACTGGGGGTGAGTCTCTTCTAATAAAAGTAAATAAAATTATTTGTGGAGTAAAATTGAGATATTACCACAACCTCAAAATCAAACCTAGAAATAGTAAAAAATCAAAATCAAAATTCTATCACATTTTTCATTTCATTAAGAGGAGAAATCCCAGAGATCATAACAAGAGAACAGCTTTGGCATCAAATGTTCATTCCTGGTAATTCTTGAGTTTCTTGTTTCAATAATTTGCTTTCCTTATATATGACATATCGAATCTCTTCTTTTTTTTTTTTCTTTTTTTTTTCTTCCCGTGTGGAATCTCTTTGTTTGCCAAGATTAAATTCTCAGGAGTTTTGAATCCCAACAATTCGATGTTTGTTATTTATAAATGATTAATCTTTAATACAATTCTTACAAATAATGATTTTAAGAAGCAAACAAGAAAAAAGAATGCTCATATAATCAACGGATTATCAATGTGATCTTGTCAATCGCAACGTTCCATTATTAACGTAAAATTTAATATGATTAGAAGGGTGAAATAGGTCATGTCATGAGGTGCCCATAAGCTCAATGTATTTCCAATCACCCACATGGATCAATAAATTTTTTTTTTTGAATTTTTAGGGGAAAAAAGGACCATATTACCCTTCGACCTAAGCTACAAAATTTTGTTTGAACGTTAGTCATATATGGCCGACGTGGGTTTTGGGCCACCAATGCTTAACCCAAGGTCAAGAATTCCCTTGGGCTACCCATGACAAGGCCTTACAACATCGACTGGTTTATGTCGGGCAGACATAGAATGGGCCAATGGGGTATATATTTGGTCACAAAGATCGTACCAACTTTACACCTCTAACTTTCTCTCGAATCAATGCTTTGTGGGTGGCGGAATAAAATGTATATCGAGCACGTGTGACAGACCTCTTTTTGCACACAAGTTTACTTATCATACACGTTTCATTTGTAAGAAAAGATGTTAACCAGCTTTCGGCTTAATCCAGCACAAGAATGGCAGAACATTCAAGAAAAGGCGAAGAAAAGTGTGAGAAACCGAAGATAGTTGTGCCTGAATTATGCCTAGATGTTGTGAAAGATGAAGTGCACTCATCGCCATCTTCACCAGTTACCCTGAGGAAGACATCAAGTGTGAGGTATAATTGCTTGTGCTCTCCAACGACACATGCCGGCTCGTTCAGGTGCCGGTACCACCGGAACCACAGCCTTACTCGCAATAGCATTTCTGTTGGTTCTAAGCTTTCAGAGTTAGCTGGTAAATCAACTCAACTCTGTGATGGATTTGACAATCATCTCATTTCTGGGCAAAACAGGGCTCATGATCAATCATAAATGCATCAGTACTCGTTTGTTTAATAGCTTGGGCAGTATTTTCTTTTTGAACCAAAAATTTGAATCTGCATACGACAGATCATGGTTCTTGAAGTATCTGATTGATTTAGAGTCCATGTGCAAGTTTCTAATTAATCTTATATGCATCAAGCCTCGTTAGTATAAAATTTGTATTTTAATCATTTAGATTATCGAGTGAATAGACATTTCAATTCAGTGAAAATCAGGACGTTAATGATAAATTAAGAGAACGACGACTAAAGTAGTTGGAGAACAAGGCCCTCGAGAGCAAGGAAACTGAGTAAAACAAGCCGGAAGATGGAAGGATAGATCAAAAGTAACATGATTCGTTGTTGTTGCTTTATCTATCAGAAAATCTAGCAATGAACCTAATTTGGTCGGGGCAAAAGGACATTGTACTATGAATATTAGATCTCTCAGATGTAGAAAATGCTGCAGAATGTGAATAATACTATCAGGATTATTTTCATAAAGCCTGAAATCAAAATAAAATCTCAGGATCATAGAATCAGAAGACTTTCCATGTACGATGTTGGTCGAAGAGACCCGTCACTAAGATAGGACGCAAAACACGATGCTAAACTTGTGAATCAAAGAAGCATACAGTCTTACATTTTTGTACACTACTAGGATGTACAGTACAATGGAACTTCCTCGAGAAGCATCTTGATAATTTAATCACATAGGACAAGCATCGTCCTCGACTTCTTGAGGCATCATGTGAATCCTGCAAAGAGGACAGGTGACATTCCAGTACTTCAACCACTTCTCAAGGCATGACTTGTGGAAAACATGGCCACAAGACAGATGATTAACCTCTGCATATTGCTTGAATTCGGACAGGCAGACTGAGCACTCTTCCTTGGGGCAGTCTTGAATAAACATTGAGTCGTAACGTATTGCTGGTGTTCGGCTATGGAACTCCTCCACGTACAACTCAGAATGGGTTCTACGACATTCAACTGAGTCCGAGGATTCCAAGGAGAGCTCTTCCCGAGATGCCATGTGGATGCCCATGACATGAAGGATTGAAAGAAAAATCTCCTTGAAAATGGAAATGGATATGGCCGTGTTGACCAGAATTACGCAGAAGACTCCCACATCAGCTGGAGTTGAATACGATGAAAGACCCATTTTGGATTCGTAACCTAACGGAAAATCAGAATGTATCGACTTAGCTCTAACGAGAAGAACTATACGAAGCAAAAATATAATTCACAACTGGAGAAGTTTTATAATCAGTTTGATGGAAGCTCATGATATTTTATACCTTTGATGGGAGAATAAATAAATGAGGATAAACCAAACTTCCAAACGTTTCTTGCTTTTCAGATGATAAATTTAAACCTGTTGTAATCCAACCCCATTTTTTCACAGAAAAAGGCAACAGGATCTCAAGAACGGTATTTCTGGAACTAAACAAGACGTATCTATTGAAAATCATATGATGCCATTTGAAGAGAAATTTCGAGACATGCACCGGCCAAAATGTCTCTTCTGTTCTCAGTATAGTTCTCTTCCTAGTACTCTCAAAGTTTTTCATCTTGTCAATATTAACGAATGAAAAAGGGAAAACAAGAAAAGTTAGTGTGCTTTCACCCAAGGCTTAGAGCTTAACATGTATTAATTGTGTACAAGTTTTACAGAAAACATGGAAACGAAATACAATAGATTCACAAGCTTACCTTCAGCAAATTATGGCAAAACAAATCTCCTAAAACACAGATCCCACCCTATATCAATATGGATTGACAAATAACAGTGAAACTGAACATTAGGCAAAGAACATAAATTTATTTGCTAGATATCCAATATAAAACAATACATTCATTAACCAAAATCCACCTTTTCTTTTCCCTTTCTTCTTATTATTAGAAACTTCCCTATTATTTGACAGTTAGTATGCAAAAAAGCCCAGAAATTTGAGTCTATACTTTGAAATTGGAAACCCATAAATATAACCAAGTCCAGAGCAGACAATTTGCTTTTGGCAATTTGTTCACAAACACTCAACAATACTCAGAAATAAATTAAACAAAAACCTAGACAAAACTAAAATATTTGATCTCTGCAAAATCATATACTAATTTCCACATGAAACCCATCAAGAAATGCTCAATTTTGTCCCCCCAAGAAAAACTAAAAAGTAGAGAAAACGTATATCTGTTCCATAAATTAAAACCCAGAAGAAAAAGGGAGCAAGAAACTTACAGATGTTGAGATTGTTTGTAGAGAATAAGAAAGATGAAGATTTAGACAGGTGTTGACAATAGTAGTCGGGAGTCTGCTCTTTAGTATTTATGCTGTCAAAAATCCTGCCCACACCAAAATTATCACTTTTCTATTGACTCCATGTTCATTGCTAGTTGCATACACTATTTTTGGCGATAATTACGGGGAAAGCAAGTGGAAACTTTTACTAATTTTAGTATTTTGTTTTGAATGGTACAATCAAAGATTCAAAGGTGTAATCGAGTTTGGGACGACAATTACAAGTTACAATGACGGTGTGACTTGTATAACATGATTGGTTTGCTTTATAATTTTCATTTTTATTTTAACATGATTGGTTTGCTTTATAATTTCCATTTTTATTTTTTGTAGTATGTCTTTTCATCTCTTTGCAAAACGCCTATTAAGCATAAACACGCAACTAGTGAATTGATGTTTTAACATTTTTTCCTGGACAACTGTTTATGCTTTTAACATAAAGAAATAATCTTCTTGTACAGATATTTTTATAGGTGATGAGGTGACAACGCTAAATTGGTTGATTTAAACTTATTTTTTGTCTAGCATCCAGTAAAACTGTGATAATTGACAATTCAACAAATTGTTTGACAAAATCTCCTATAAATGTAGCAATATCGTAATCGAGAGTCTAAAAGGTCATTTTTTAAGGAAAAAAGTGATTACTAGTTCTAGTCAAAATTATTTATATATTTTTTTGTACATTATTGCTTGAAAAGAATCATAGCTGTCTGTTCTCAAATTGGATAGTAAAGATCGAAGAAGGACAATCACTCATTCTTAAAACATAGTGTAGTCCATGTTCATTTATGATATGACATAAAGACAATGCCCTGATTAAAAATATAGAAAATGGAAGAGAGGACAATACGAAAATGTTGGATATGCTAAAATGGATACAACGAATTATAAAGACTTTACATCTCTCTTTTCGTTCAAAATTTACATAGACTACCTAAACTTTTTAAAAGTTTACTATCTTATCATAGCTAAGATTGCACAGTAAGAAATACTAATGAAGCCAAAACTAACAGAAATAACTCAATATGGCGAACCGAGTAAAACTGCAGCTACAAACGGCTTGCATTTTTGCACTATATAGTAGACGGCTGACAGTGAAGACATACGCATTAGGTGGTCGGGCTATTCTTGTCAAGAGAAAGACAATTGATACTCAGTAGTTACATGTAGAAGGGAAATCATTCTTCCTGATGACCAACACGCCAAGTGAACTTGTTGGTGAAAAATAAGATCCCTGCATGGATTTGTCATTGCAAGGGAAATAATCCATCTCATCCTTTTGCAATCCCAGATTGCATTTGATTGATCTTTCTCAGTTTTGAATAACCATTAAGATAGACTCAGTAACTTCGGGTTTTGCTCAGTGGATCATAATCATATGCTTCACCAGCCTTAACAAACCGTCCCTTCTCGCGTCTTCTTACATCTGCTCTTACCTTTCTAGATGCATACCTTACTTTCTTCTCAAATCTGTTACATGGTCAAATTTAAAAGACTGCTCAGAAAAAATTATAAAAACTTCAATTCCTATTAATTCATCGAAACCAATAAGTGAAGTTACTTGACACCAGCTGCACATGAGCTACAACCCCCTGCCCCTTCATATACTTGAACAAAACAACAGTTTTTACACACAAATTCAATGTTGCAAAAGCATGGTAATCTTGGAAGACATATACGTGGTTAGATCAACAAATAGAAACTACACATAGGTATTGAATTTTATCCTAGATCCTGTCTTGTAATCATTGTATCGTTATCAGTTTACTGTCTTCTTGGTTTTATATCCTGATTAGTTTAGCATTCTAAATAGAGGAGACCAATGTCCTATTACAGTATTGTCTCTCATTAAGAGAGATAATGACGTCCAATACATATTTTCATCCATCAATATTTTCCTAGACCTGCGTCCAGGAAGAATGCCCCATGACTCCAGCACTGGCACTAGGCAATGAGGGGGAGTGTTAGCGTGTCCCACTTTGCTTTTAATACATTTGAATGTGCAATGAACAAGTCGAAGATAAGTCTCCATAGATTTTATAGTCGTAGCAGATATAGGTTATGATTCAATACTACTCAATTTTATCTCCTATTAAGTTAAACTTGAAAATGAATAGGAGAACTCAAATAAAATCTTACTTTCGCGTCTTTTTCTTCTCTTTGTAACGCATTACTGCAACATTCCTGATAGAAGAAGGTGTGGAACTTTCAGGACCCGGAGAACACCATGGTGGCTCGCCCATGATAAGCATCGAGGAAGGTCCGCAATCGTGATAATCTCCAGCACTACTCTCTCCATTAAGGCCAGAAAATTGCCTCGTAAAACATAAGTTTGGATCAGTCCTACAGCTTATATTTGAATCTGCAGACGCTGCATTGCTGCATGTTGGTTGTGCCACATTCGTCCCCACAGCAGATGACTCCTATTAAGAGGAAAACAAATGTGTTAGAGATTTCAATGCAACCCAAAAATGTTCATCAATAACTTTTTTTTTTTTTTTTTGAAATTATAGAAAAAATTGAGTAAGTGTTAGCCTTTCATAGGAAAAACTGATATAGCCTACACTTTTGTGGGCATTTTTAAGACAATTAAAAAAAAAACTACTATTATTGATGTAGTCATCAAAATGAATGGCATGAACTGGATGTCAAATATTTGAACCTTAAGAAAATACAAATATCAAGAAACTTCACAAATTCAAATCAACATCGCTGTTTGCCTGTTCACAAGAAACACTAAGCATATTTGTGCATAGAGAAGAGCTTGATTCATGAGAAAAATGTTCCTGATATGTTTTAATTTATGTTCTACCCATTGACAGGTCCAAATAAGCCTATAATCCCCACTGACAGGTCCAAATAAGCCTACAATCCCCGTGGAAATGCATCCACAACGGCCAAAAGGTGAAGCATGAGAAGCTACTATCCTAAATTTATGGAAGAGCTCTACATGTCCAAGTAGTATGCTTGCTTAAATATTAACGATATGGACCACACTGCACTTTCAATAAGATTTATTCCTTCGTAACAAAAAAATAAAACAAACTAAGCCTTTCTCCCAGTATACTTGGGTCCGTCCACTTTATTCGATCCACCACTACACGTACTGAAAGTTCCAAAATCGAATCTCTGCAATTAAAAATAGGACACATTCAAATCGGTACAAGTAACTGCTGCAGAACACTTTTTCACGGTGATATACAATTTAATATCATTTGAGTGAAGTTTTCTGATGATGCATATCTCTATTCTACCATGTTCCAGCCATGGAGTTCCTGTTCCCCTTCTCATTTTTCACCCAAGAACAGTGTCTGCAAGGTAGTGGAAAACCAGAAAATATCCAAAGACATTTAGCCCAGTGTACCAAGGTGAAACCTAATTGAACTTTTCACATGGACATGATCGAAGCAGAGCCAGCAGCAAAGGAACCTAACTGACTCTAATCCTATACACTAAACTGTTCAACTCCCCTTTCCTTATGCATAATCGAACTTAAATATCTAAAACAATTAACAAAAACCCAAGCATCTTAGTTATTAGAAAATATTTTATATAACTAATAAAATATGAGAAGATCACACGCAGCAATAGAAATTTGATAATTTAAAGCAGATGCAGTACAAAGAATTACCTCAGCAGCATAGGCACCTGGACAGTTGAAATTAGCACCAGACATGTCCCTCATCCCAAATATTCCATTTATTTCATCATCATCAAATAGCTGTTCTTGATTATTAAGATTGACTCCACAGATTTCTTCATAGTTCTCAATATTTATGTCAATTTCATCCATAATAAAATCATCACAGAATTCATCATCTCCAAATAAACCAGTTCCTTCCGTTCCAGAGAAGAAAACCTGCAAATTAGCAAGGTAAGACTTTATAGTCCTTGTAAAGTAGAAGAAGATAAATCATGAATGGATGCTATTGAAAAGACCGTCATATTTTTTTTCCTTTCTGGAAGAAGTTGCATAGTTTGCAAGGATCAAAATGTAGCCTGAATACTTGAGAATATCAACTCTACAAAGTTGAATTTTCAGAGAATGTAAAATTATCAATACCTGCAAACTTGATGCAACAAAACCTTAAAAGAAGAAAAATATGTAAGATCATTCATGAGGAAATAAACCTAGTACAATTGTTTAAGAAATCTCTCTCTCCCCAGTTTGGTCTTAACAAGGGTTTTCATTGTTCTTTGAGCACCTAAGTGGTCTGCCAGGCACTAGAAACCAGGGGAAGAAGCAATCTAAAGTATAAGTTTATATTGATGTTTTCAAATCAGGGCAAGGTACAAACACAGCATTTGGTCAAATTTTGCAGCCAACATCTAGGATAAATGAGAAGACATAACACTAGGTCTCCAATTTTCCAAAATCTAAGGAATATATATCAGATGACATAAAAATAGATAGAAAACAATGGACCGAAAAAGAAAATAAGTTCGTTATATATTCTATTGAGATTCTATCTAACTCTCCAAAATAAATGTGATGAAACATTATCCACCTTAGGATTAGCTGAAGTTGACTTGACTAGCCGTTCTGCATCGTTCAGCTTGGGATCAAGCAAAGGTGTTTCTGATTTCATCCTAACATTTGATTTATCGACAGCCATATTACTATAGTCACTCGCTTCAACTCCAATAGGTGCATTTTGAGTGTCGTTCTTTCCTTCTGGACCTTCACAGTCCCTTGGTCTGTTATCACTGATGCTCATTGAACCCATTCCCTGCTCACAGGTGGAATTTTCGACCTGAGAGGAATCTAAAAGAAATGACCAGACTGAAGAAAGTTCGGTAGCTGAAGGGCAGCCTGAGTAACAATTAACCATTTGTCTCTTGTGCGCAGGACTTCCATTCGAGCTTGGATGCCCCACCCAATCACAATTCTGACAAAGAGACGTCCTCTCCTCAAAACATCGGACAAAAGCTGGTTGAGAGTTGCATCTCTCACACAGAAGTGTCCTTTGATGACGTCTTGAGAGGGCATTCGCTGAATGGACATTGCGGTCACAGGACAAACATAAGCATGCTGCATCCGAGCGACAATATACAAAGGATCTTTGTTCCCCACAAAAATCACATAGATAACCCATATTTCAACGACTTTCGAGTACTTCTTCCAATTAGCAACTTGTACTGATTCAAACCAACAAAATGCAGGTTTTGAACAGATAATTTAGAGCTTGTTTTGCAAAGACAGAACCGGTGGTTGTTTTGAGCTGAAGTCTGCACTAACAGAAAAAGGAAATCAATATTCGAAAACGAGGGACTTTGCATGTTACAATTTTTAAAGGGAAGAAATTTTGCATCACTGCATCTTGAATCTATATGAAACAGGGAAAAGAAGGCCGTGGTGAAAACAAAACGATATTCACCTTGCCTAAACTCTGAACAAAATGGCTTTTGCAAGCTAGAATTTAACAATTAATTCCCAGAGACTCAGAGAACAAATTCTATCGGATATTTAACGCATTTTAATTATAGGAACAAATTCTTTTTCGATATACACGTAGCATAATAAAACGTATAATTATTTAATTAGAGATGCCAAACTATTCAGACTGGGGATCAAGAATCCAGACAAAAGTGAATAATCTTAACCAGCTACAATTCTTTAATTCCTAATCATCACTAAACATGCAAAAAGATAACTTTTCAAATGGGCAGAAGTCAAATTAAAAAACCTATGTAGTCTTTATATATTTTTTTTAAAAAAAATCAAAAATTGGGCTAAAAAATACAGTACTAAAAGGGAACCCTTCAGAAGAAAATCCAAACATCAGCTCAAAACACAATTTATAAAAATTCCATCTACATAATTCATAAATCCCAATATTTACCAAAACAATAAAAGGAAAAATTCCAAGTAATCACCACCAAAAACAAAAAACCAATTTCTCTAAATCTACAAATACAAACTGAAATCTTTCAAGAATCCTGATCGTTACATAAAAAAAGAAGAAAGAAGCCCATTTTAAGACGGAAAATTTAACAAAATACTTAACAGTAAGCAAAGTACAGAAGCCTTTTCTGCAGCTTTCTTTCACAAATGAAACCGTACAGACAGAAAAAAAAAAAAGAAATATCAAAACCTTTTCGAGAATCTCTCTCTCTCTCCCCCTCTCTAAGAGAAGTTGAAGAAGGATGTATACTCTGTCGAAGTCTTGGGTTCTGACAAAGAAATAATAAATTAGTAAGAAAAAGTGATAAAAGTGTAAGACATAGAAAGAGAGAAATGTGTAGGGAGGTGGGACCGCGTCGCTATCATGAAAAGGAAAAGTTAGGCCCGCACTTTTTCCCTCTTGCGCTTTGGGCCCCACTAAAATATCTCCATTTTCTTTCTTAAGATATTTTCCTCTTTATTTTTAAAATTGGCTAAAGAATAAAAAAAGTACAAAATTTGGGTCTTTTTCGAATATTAGGATTTTTGTTCAATGTCCAAATCAAAACAAAGAAAAATAAGACAAAATCATATATTATATTATTGGGTTCTATTCAATGCTGTGTACCAAATAAATATGCATTTATAGTATTGTCAAATCCAATTTCACATTTATAAATTAGACAATGAAAAAAATTCAACCTAAAAAAGTAAATAAATCAAATACAGCTACTAAGAGCATCTTCAATTCCTTCCGTCAATTTGCAGTCTATTCGGTGTTTAGATAGATAGACTTTCAAAGTAAATGACACTAACATTTATAACCTCCACATGCCCTATTGAAAATGCTCTAAAAAACGAGTAGCAAATTTCAAAAATAACAAGTTGAACATTTAATAATCTCATAATTTGAAGTCATGACATTCGGTAGAAAAGGATGCACGTTGTAGTCATGGCATGGAAGGATGGCGAGCATGATAACGGTGAACTGAGATAAATATCCATGAATTCAGGTATATATGTATTTTGCGGGTCAATTTCATGACATGATTTTCTTTGTGGACGTGTGAAAAATCTTATATTCTATGCACGCTCAAACATATTAAAATGAATGTAAATATGAAAATAATTTCTAAAATCAGAATTTTATAAAATTTTAATGACACTAACATTTATAACCTCCACATGCCCTATTGAAAATGCTCTAAAAAACGAGTAGCAAATTTCAAAAATAACAAGTTGATCATTTAATAATCTCATAGTTTGAAGTCATGACATTCAGTAGAAAAGGATGCACGTTGTGGTCATGGCATGGAAGGATGGCGAACGTGATGAACTGCAATAAACATCCATGGATTCAGGTATATATGTATTTTGCGGGTCAATTTCATGACATGATTTTCTTTGTGGACGTGTGAAAAATCTTATATTCTATGCACGCTCAAACATATTAAAATGAATGTAAATATGAAAATAATTTCTAAAATCAGAATTTTATAAAATTTTAAAAAAAGTCGATTTTATTTCTGCTTTTCATCTCCATTTTACTTTCTGTTCTGGTCAAGCACAAAGTCCCAGAATAGAGTCCTAGTAATTTAATTGTAAGAAAAGGACGCGTGGCGGTATAGTTGGCGAGTAAGGTACGAGAAAAGTGCAGCTACCATAAATAATTTAATAATAATTAATATAATTAGTGGTTTTTTAAGATAAGGCACAATCAGATACGTGAGATGCAATACACTAAAAGGAGATATGTTTGTAACTTTATTACCATATTGCCCTTCCGTTTACCTTATTTACAAATGGCTCATGACCTATGGTCCCCATGTGGAATCAGTCTCCACTCTTACATTCTTAGCTATGACCCTATCGAGCCTTTCTTTTTGTGCACTATTAGTCCTTAAAGATGGTTTCCATCCCTCAACTTTGCGGGTGCTCTCTGTAGTGAAATTAAATCGTGTCTTCATACCTCAACGGTGGTATGTCGAATTATTATAGAGATAGCATTGCAATCAAAACATTTGTAGCAATGGAGAACGACATTTCGATGTATTGATCCATGATAGGGATGACAACAGGATAAATAATCCTCAATCCCGATGAGACTTGCCGACCTGGTTCGAACAAGACATGAATACCCAACTTAATCGAGGATGGTGCTAGAATGGGGTTAAGAAATTAGCCCCGATCGAGTCCTCGTCCTAGTTAAGATGCTTCATATTCTTACATTTAAAATAAAAAACATGGATTAATCGGGAATTGAGGTCACCCCACCCTGACTCTGCTTAAGTGGGGATGTGACGAGGAAATCCACGTGTAAGGACCCTGTTACCATTCCTAATTCGCAAAATTGTGAACTTAATTCCTATCGTTTGTCCAACATGGCATCATAGATAACCATTGTCGATGATAGAACACTTGATCGTGACTTTCCTTTGGACATCACCCTCCATAACAATAAAACTTATTTCAATGTTTCATTTTATTCAAATAACTTATAACTTACTAAACTGCTACTCCTAGTTGTTTATGACAAAAATAAAAGTAATGTTATCAATAATGACCCACCAATTTTAATTATTTTTCAAAAACTATTAAATCTTAATTAGCACATTACTCATATATTCAAAATGTGAAAAGTATAATATATGTTAGGCGATAGAGGAATAAATCCTAGAATTCTGAAGAGTTCAATTTTCAAAGCAATAGGTAGTGTGGGATGATTTTGACCAACACCATCGCAAATTAGAAAGAAGTGCTGGTGGATGCCGATTTGCTTTCTACCATCTTGGTGAGTCGAATAACTAGTGAGACAACTAAATATTATTTATATTTAGTCTCTTTCATTTTATATTTAATCTTTTTCTTTTTTTTTGCCTTTTCAATTATAGATAAGGGTATAAATGTTATTCAATCAAACTATATATCTTTTGCAGACCTGATATATATTCGAATTGAAAGACGCTTGTATGTTATACATGACTTTTAAGAGGACACTAGACCGAATGGGTCTTTAAGGACTACTAGCACACAAAAACAATGGATTACAAAGGTCATTGCCTGGAATGAAAGAATGCAGAGTGATTTCACATGAAAGCCATAAATTAGAGACAATCTGTGCAAAATTCCGAAACTAACTTTAACTTATTTAAAGCAATAGATATTTTGAAAAAGTGGTTGAAAAGCTAACGTTTGATGTCACCAAGCGCTTACTAGTCACATAAATATCCCACAAAAGGGAGATATTCACAATTTTTTTGCGTATTTTACTTTTTAGCATATCTTTAAATTCATTCAAAAAATTTCCAATTTTTGTTCGGGTCAAAAATGGGCTAAATCCCTCAAGACCTGCACTTTTGTGGGTTGGTCTAAGGTTAGGAGTGGGGTCTAACAAGCCATTTGAAATTTTAAAAACTTTGCACAAAATAACATTGAACAAGGCCCAACATAAAATAAACCATGTGTAAATAATTTTTGGGAACTTAACATAACTTCCAGTTTTAAAGATCACATTTCATAAATAACAAACTCATCAAAATATTTCAAAAATCAGGCAGTAAATAAATTTATTAAATATTAAAATATAATATAATATATATTAATTATTTTCCACACACACTACCTCACCCACCCCATCCTCTCATCCCACTATACCGCCTTCCCTCCACCTCTCCACCGAAAGACCATCGGCTCCGGCGATTGTTCCGACAGTCGCTCCGACGGTCATTCCGATGATCACTCCGACGACTCCAAAAATTAAAATCGTCCTCTCTCTCCACAGAAGCTCTCTCTCTATACACATTTTCAGACACAAAACTTTACAGATGGTGGGGATGGTGAGGTGGAGCTATGTTTAAAAAATAGATCTGTATGGTGGCAGAGATAATGCATTGGAGGTAATGAAGTAGCACTGCAGTTAATCTGTTTGGTGGTGGTAGTAAGGTGTTAACAATGTTTTGGGTACCATGTGATGGCAATAGTGTTATATTGTAGTTGACGAGTTTTGTGATTAATTGTGTTATATGTAACCAGATTTATAATTTGTGACCATACCTGTGTTATCTGTGGCTGATTGTGACCAAACCATCTGAAACCAAGTCACTGGGACACTGCCATGTGTTGTCCGTGACCAATTGTGACCAAATTTGTATTCAGTGTGACTGTCTGTGACCAATTTAATATTTATTGTGGCATTATGTGATCAAGTCACAATCGATCACAGCTAATACAGAATTAGTCACAACTTCCACAATAAACACATGCTTGACCTTAAAGAGTCACTATAAACAAATCTTCACACCGCAGCCCAGTACCACAATCCACCACCAGTCACTATCACGTTCATCTCTACATTCACTGACATTTGTTATCTATGATTAGTTGTGACCAATTTTGTCTTCAGTGTGACTATCTGTAACCATATATGTCTAATTTGTGACTATATGTAACCCAGTCACATACAGTTATAGTTATTATAGATTTGGTCACGAACAGTCACATTGAAAATAGACTTGGTCATACTCGATTTTCATTGTCACTACCACCACTCCCAACAACGTCAATCAAATATCACCACCAGCAACGTACTACCTATGCCACTAGGTTGATTGGGGCTCGCAAACTTGGGTTGATTGAGCAATGGCGCCCATCGATCTTGTCGGATTATGTACAACAATCCCCAATTAATCCTACAGAATTAGGATATTTAAAGAGAGAGAGAAAGAAGATCAATGGAGAGGAGATTGATACAGCAGCCCCCAATTGATTTTTGCCCCCAAATCGATCATTTTATTCGTCACGATTACCCAAATAATTGGTCAAAATTGGTCAACTTATCACCCCACTTCGACCCACCGCCATTCTGCCAAAATCAATACCACCCGAACATCGCCATCCCCTCACCACCAACAGCAGCAAATTTGTACTCATATGTTGTTGCCAACCCACTCCACTAACACCACCACCATTCGCACCGAAGTCACGTCATCATCGACTGGGTACCAACTTATTTTTCACTTAGTGACCATCTCGAACGCTAGATTAACATAAATAATTGATAGATTTGACTCCAACGAATCAATGATAACAAACCCACAAGACATCAACAGCAGTAGCTTGTCCACGGGAACTGGCAACCCACCTCCACCACTCTTCCTCAACAAACACCCCAACGCATTTGTTACCCTGTCCTCTTCGACTCTGCTCGGATTAGGCTCCGAATTACTGCCTTATTCCATCATTCGTAACAGAAGATATCAAAATAAATATTCTCTGTTCACCCTATGATAAATGGTAAAAATAGATGAAAACAGCAAAAAAGTTGTATAAATGGAAATATCTAGAACGAATTTCAACGAGATAAGTGTAGATTTTAGATAAGAAATGAATGGATAAGTGTTTGGTCTACAACCGCTGCGCACATCTACTTTCTTTGATAGTTATGTTATGCTAGGTAGGGGCGGGTACAATGGTAGTAGAGACTAGAGAGAGAAAAGGAAAAGTGATGGTAGAAAGAGATACAAAGAGTGGCCCATAGAGAGAGAGTGTGTGGGACTATGTTTGGAATTAATTGGGGTGGAGGTGGTGTGGGATTATTATGCAGATTAAGGTTTAATTAAATTTTTATTAATTACAATTAATAATTTTATTTACCATCTGAAATCTGAAGTTTAAACCTAACCCCTTTATTTATGAAAACTAATATTTAATTAAAGGGTTTTAGATAATTTTCCCTTGTTGAAAAGATTTTGAGGTTCAAAAGTTTTCAATCACACTTTATCTATAGAAATGTAAACATATTAAATTATTTTAACTTTATAGGCAGAATGAGAAATTTTAATTATTTTCAAAACTATTGCACCTAAAAAATAATTCTCCAGCACAAAAGGTAAAAGATAACATAGCAAAGTTATTTTCATTTTTCATCCCCTTCAAAATCTGAGTGCCGATGGCAATTTTAAACATGTTCTTCATCAAACCACAACAGCTATTTCTCTAATGGGGTTTTGTCGAACAACTTACGCTTTTGAAGCTTGAAGTACCTCGGTAACACGCTTGCATAGTCGGAAAATCCTCATATACCCATTGCTTACCTTCGTAACTGCATCTCGAAATTCGGCTGACACTGGTTCAGATAAATATTGTGACCCGTGAGCTGGAGTTGCCAAATGCGATGGAAGGGCCTCTGAAGGGTATATTCCTCTGCAATGATACCATTCGAGTGAGTATTACAAACTTACAAATAAACATAAAACTGAAAATGCGGATACATTTCAACTTAACATAAATCATTCCCGTCCAGCATAAGTTAATAGCCTCCTCCGAAAGCAGGTTTGGAAAGTATTTATGAATGGTTTAGATTATAAATAAATAGAAATGAGTAATGAATAATTCGGTAATACTTGTTATCTTTCAAACTATGTAGATGAAAAGTGACTTAATTATTTATAAACAGTTTATAAAGATGAACTATTTATGATGATAGGGAATGCCAATAAGTATGCTACTGGTGCATGACTTCAGCACACAGGATCATTATGATTAATGTCAATCTATAAGAAGAAGGCAACAATCCATTTATTGAAAATGTGACAACTTGACCTCCGCCATCTACAGCAACCTTAGTAGTCAACATATGGTCTTTTACACCCCTACTTTAAAACACGCTTTCAAATATCTGTAAAGAACATTTAACTTTTTAGTTTTATTTATATTTTCTGGGAACGGGAGGCTGACACGAGGGGAAATTCAATCAGCTCGTGTATAAAAACCGGCATTTCCCAGTGGAAGGAGGTAACGAGGCAAAAAAGTTGAGGAATAGGACTAACCGCTTCAAACAAGACAAGTGTCAAGGTCACCTTCCTCCCGCTAATGAACTTAATGAAACAAGTCTGTAGATGAAGCTGCTCAACTGCAAGTGAAAAGACACAAGTTCATATAGAAACACGTTTATCTAAAGCTAAACGCAGTTGACCGATTATAAGCAACCACCCCTACTTTAAAACACGCTTTCAAATATCTGTAAAGAACACTTAACTTTTTAGTTTTATTTATATTTTCTGGGAACGGGAGGCTGACACGAGGGGAAATTCAATCAGCTCGTGTATAAAAACCGGCATTTCCCAGTGGAAGGAGGTAACGAGGCAAAAAAGTTGAGGAATAGGACTAACCGCTTCAAACAAGACAAGTGTCAAGGTCACCTTCCTCCCGCTAATGAACTTAACGAAACAAGTCTGTAGATGAAGCTGCTCAACTGCAAGTGAAAAGACACAAGTTCATATAGAAACACGTTTATCTAAAGCTAAACGCAGTTGACCGATTATAAGCAATGTGAATTTGATCAAAAGATGCACAAGGAAAAAAAAAAACATTTATTTTGATGGGAAAAAAAATTCTCCACATTATCCTGATTCTTAAAATTTGAAAGGGAAGAAGCATGGATGGCGTCTCAGTAAACTTTCTTTGAAGAGCTAAGAGGAAAAAAGAAATTACTCATTAAAATAAAACAATTAGTACACAATTTGTACTCCCTCCATCCACAATTGAATGCCACCGTTTCCATTTTGGGTCTGTCCTTAGAGAATGACTTGTTTGCGAAATAGAAATTTTCTTCTTTAAACCCCGTAAGCACGATCTAAATGTGGTGTTCAAGGTAGCCCACCAATTATCATGTAAAATGAAGAAGCATCAAAGAAAAGTAAAATGGCAGCTAGCATGGATCACGGAGTCCAACTCACAATTATAAATATAAGAATACAAACTGTAATATGGAATGGTACAACGAATACTCACAATTCTGTGCCTAAAGCATCACAGAACTGCGGATGGATGGAGTAACTTACACTGAAGAAAAATCCAAGTCATCATTTATTTGATTTGTATATAAAAATGCTTGTATCTGTTATATTCAAATAGGGGGCAAATTGGAAAATTCTTAACCAAGTTCTTCTATTTGGCCGTGCTAAAGAGAGTCAGTGACACTACTAAAAATGCTACCGATCAACCAAAACTATGAAAGAAATTCTACTTTTGTGTTGAATGCTGCTCAAAATGCCCATCTGATGGCGTGGATGTTTATAGTTGTTCTTGTCAGCAGTGTTTTATGTGCAAGAAAGCATGGGAGCATTTCAAACAACTCTTATTTCACTGCAAAGTTACTTTGAACATATGAATTTTCTTTTGATGTTTTTTGGGATAAGCTGGGATCTGCCTGGTAATGTGAAGACATAAGACCACTTTTTGCTTCATGAGGTTTGTTTGGAGAGACAAGGGATAGAAATAGAAGAGAAAAACAGTAACCCAATGCACAAATAGGACAAACAATTATCTGCAAAAACTGTACGAGATGAAATTTTATTTTTTATGAATCATTTTAGGACAACTCAAACATTGATTTGCTAAATTTTTGAAATGTAAAATACCAACTAGCATCTGGTGCCATCTCAAAATTCAGCTGTCCAACAGAGGTCATTCATGCAATTTGAAGAGCCAACATAACTTTGGCCACACTAGCATAAATAACAACTAAAGACGTTCAAGTTCGAAGGAGTTTCTCAGTAAACATAATTTGTTCTTGCCAAAATGCCAACATAACATAGCCTCGGTCAATAAATAATACCTAAATATGTGCAAGTTTCAATAATTTGTTAAGTAAAAACAATCCTCTTTTTTTTTTCTTTTTTCCTTTTTTTTTTTGCTTTTTTTTTTTTTTTGGGCACGAGTACTGTTCCAATTGATTGAGAGTCATACAGAAAATGGTAAGAAAAGAAAAAGGATAACTACTTTAATAGCCTAGGCAAAGGTTATGCGTTAATGAAAATCAAAGAGAAATAAGAAGAAAAGCAGACACAAGGAAATCACATGTACATATAAAGTCATCACACTGTTGGGGCTCCATTACACAACATAAAAGACATTTTAAAGGCTCTAAAATTCTGAAAACTGGAATCCATTAGTTAAAGAAAGACTATAATTAAAAAAATTATGGTCCAAACTCTACATTAGGAAACTCTGTTAAATTGTTAACTGTCAATGTGAAGGCAAACTGCTTAAAATCCCAAAAATACAACTTGGCACCAAACAAAGATTCCTTCAAAATGCATTTTAGAAATATATGCAATTCTCGAAAACAATAGAAATAGCCTTTGACTAAAAAAAGGAAAGCAATAGAACTTAGCCAACTTGTAAACAAAGTTAAAAGGAAAATCTAGACTAAAAAAGAAAAAGGTGAAAAAAGAATGAACTAAGACTGAATTGGCAGAGCATGAAATAACTTCAAAATTGTAAACTTAACCTATCTTTCAATTTTCTTTGCTTGCAAAAGGAAAAGTTAATTAGGGAGGAGAGCCCAAGTTTGGATAAAATGACATTATTGAACATAGAAGAAGCTACTTATACAGCATAAATTCACTTCTTAAAGGCACCATAGTTCAGAAGATGATGCAGATGCCGTCTCTAACACAGTCAAGAACCAACCTGTCAATTATATTAAACATCGCATCTTAACATAAATGATGAACTACAAGGAGAATGAAATTACCAGACAGACAATAAAAGCTAGACTGATTCAAATTAGGGAGCTCCAACTGTGCAAGTTGTACCTCCTCAAGCACTTCCAGCCCAGTTCCCAGAAGGGAGCTGGTTACCTGCACAATCAATGAGTGAGAACAATATCTGGAGGTGAACTATGTGTTTTTTTTTTTTTATAATGCTTATAACTTGTGAGTCCTACGGAATGTGTGCCTAATAAGTGGGTAGTAAGTTGTGGGTGTCACAAAAAGTGTGGATAAAAATTATATTTGACCAGCTTAAATTACAATTTAAGCTTTGCCTAACATGCTCCATACCGGATTAAAAATTACAATTTAAGCTTTGCCTATATTCATAAGCTCAGAAATCATGAATCCAAAGTAATAAAGTAATTGTTGGTTCTCATTGAATGCACAGTAGGTAAACTTAAGGTCAATCAACATGAGGAATATATTTCTTATAAGCTTATTGCATAAGAAATCGTAAACAATTGTAAAAGAGACCAAAGTCAAGTGGCGTATCAAAAAAATAGCTTATGTTTTCAATCACGTAGCATGAGAAAAGATAAGATCCAAGGGACCTGGATTCTTTACACTTTACAGGGCCTACAAGTTGAGAAGGATTCAGAACCTTCTAAGGTCATAAACTGGTTACAGTTGACATGTATTGATAACAAATATATTTCCACTTAAACCATTTGATATCCAAGTTAGTTAGAACATCTGAAGCATAAAGAAGCCAAAAAGAGAGAGAAAACAGAAGATCCTCCCTCAGAATGCCAGATGTAGATTTCAATTAACTAATATCTTTTTTCCAAAAAGGGGAAACAAAAGGCTTTATCCTTATTGGCTTTTCCTTCTTGAAGCGCTCACACATATGCACATGTGCCTGCACAGAGAAGTAGACACAATACGGAGATAACTCGGTTGTGTTTCTGTTACCAAAGTTCTAACACCTGCATATTTCCTTTTGATGACAGCATTAAACACAAATTCAAATGCACTGCAAGCATCCATACTTGGGAAATTCTGTAGGCGGAAAACACAACACATTAAAGACGTAATCAGCACAGGAAGAAGACAGATGAAATCAATTCCTAGATAATGAGAGCATCACCTTTATGGTGTTACCATTGTTCAATTTAAATGAAATTTTTATGGTTGATGCAGGACCCACGGAAGCCTTTAGACTGCATTGATCACACGTGAAAAAAATTTAGGCCAAAGGTAAGAGGAAAATTGCATAAGGACGTGAACCATTTGGAGCAACAGACACAATAAATTCTGTAAATTAGTGGTAAGAACACGTTATCTGTTATTCATTGAACCATTGCAGTACCTAATTCCCTCAAAAGCTATAAGAATTCTTAGTAAAGAGATAATTAACACACATAGTAAATATGAAAACAATGTCGGAAGGCCTAGACAAGCTGCATGCTTGAGAAGGAACATTAAGAAAAGCAGCATAAAATAAGTAGCTGGAAAGAGAACATTTTGAAAAGGCACAAATATATTACATGAACAAAGTGAAGACACTTGCCATCATTGGAGGTGGCGGGACCAATGGTGCTACCAGGAGTAGGCGATTCCATGGGACGCAAAAATGATCTACGCATAACCATCTCTTCATCGTTGTCATCATCATCACCTCCTTCAGAATCCCTTGGTTCCTCCAATTGTCCATCAAACCCTAGGTCATTACCCAAGTTACCAAGGGGTTTTGCAGTGTCAGTTCGAGGGCTCTCTTTAAACTCATCATCTCGGTCGAAAAAGTGAACCGACGTCATTTCCGCGAAGCTCACTCTCCTGGAACGCTTCTTCTGCAGAGCCATGGTGGTGCCTCCATTGCTACCACCTTCAGAATTCTCGTTCAACGGGTGGTTTTTGGTGTCGCCTGTGATCGCATCCATAAAAGTCTGGGAAAAAAATCTTCGTTTTCGCAAGGAATTTTTTTCTTGGTGAACTTAGAAAAAATTGAAAATGTGAAGGAAATGTGGCCCTATTATTTTAAGCGACATTTTTTAAAATGTCCAATTTTAAGAGTATAAGTTGAAAAGTGTTTATTTATTTGAATTTAGTATCAATTTGTCTATTATGCCCTTAATAAAAAGTTACATTTTGAAATGGTATTTTCGACATTTTAAATGTCATTCTCGACATTTGATTTTAATATCAATTTGTCACGAATTTTGAAAAGTGAGTTCTATGAAAAGTTACATTAAAATAAATTCGGACGACAAAAAAAATAAAAAAAAATAATATATATATATATATATAATACTTTAAAAAAATAACGTGACTTTAAAAAAAAAAATCATGTCTCCATATCACGGAGACATTCTCGACATTTGCCTCCTTGTCACGGAGACATTCTCGATATTACATATATCATTCTCGACATTTGAACACTGTTTCATTAAAAAAAAAATCACGTCTCCATGTCACGGAGACATTCTCGACATTACATATGTCATTCTCGACATTTGAATACCGTTTCATTAAAAAAAAAATGAAAAAATCACGTCTCCGTGTCACGGAGACATTCTCGACATTACATATGTCATTCTCGACATTTGAATACCGTTTCATTAAAAAAAATGAAAAAATCACGTCTCCGTGTCACGGAGACATTCTCGACATTATATATGTCATTCTCGACATTTGAATACCGTTTCATTAAAAAAAATGAAAAAATCACGTCTCCGTGTCACGGAGACATTCTCGATATTATATATGTCATTCTCGACATTTGAATATCGTTTCATTTGTCTAGAATGACATTTTATTTTGAACATAACATTTCTCTACATTTGAAAATGTCGTTCTTGACATTTCTGAGGCAACGAAAAATATAGCATTTATTGTGATTTGACATGTATACTTTTGAAATAAATATGGCAGGTTATGTGTCAAAATTTTATTCGCCAATAACAATTTTGCAAAAATGTCCATTTTTTTGTCTTAGTGTGAAATTAAAAATTGTTAATAAAGGTCTTTTGGTCTAAATTTTTTCAAATTGGACATTTTTTGCAAATGACTATTTAAAAATGGACATTTGATGAAATTTCCTCTTATTTTAATTTATAAATTTTGAAATAGTATTTTTTTTAGAAGATGCGTAGTTAAAAGATAAGAAATAGTTTTCGATTTACGTTTAAAAAAAATTATATGATTGAAAATAAGGGTATATTTGAGCCACATTATTTTTTAAGAATATATTTTAAAATAGTATATTGATGAAAAATGTGTAGTAAAAAATAAGAAAAAAATTTAAATTTACGTGTAATATTATTTTATTGAAAAATTTGTAATTAAAATAATGTTAAATTACCGTTTAAAAATATATATTTTTTTCAAAGTCTTAAGATAGAGAAAATATAATTTGAAATAACGGTAGCCGGAGCGGGAGCCGGGTGAAGAGTGAAGTGAATTTGGGCTCAGATGTCTAAATGCCGTATTTTTCAAAATTTTGCGCCTATTTGGTGGCGCTGTTCTTATAATTTTGATATTCCCAGCCGCAATTATTGGAAAAAGCCCTGCAGCCATCATTTTTATATCAAAATGACTTATATACCCTATAACATTATATTCATTTTATCTTTGAAAGGGCTATCTCGTAATTTAATTATAAAACATTGCGACAGTCATTTCATGGTCAACATATGCAGCTTCTCCCTCATTCACTGTATAACTGTATGAAAATCCATAAAAATTAGTGCACTACCAAACAGGTGCTTTATTTTTGGCTCTCAAGTTTGAAGAATCTGCAAATGGGCCTCTGAGATAAATCGTATCGAGTGCTTAAGTGTACACTTCACTCTTAAAATTTGATCCATATTATATTCAAGTTCTTTAAAAAATCATTTTTTTGAAATCTATTTTTAATTATACATTCTCCTAATAAAATAATTTTACACTTAAATTCAAAACATTTTTTACTTTTTATCACACATTTTCAGAAACATCACTATTACAAAATTTATTTCTTCAAAAAATCAGGGGGGAGTTTAACATTTAAAAAATCAAAAATTTTGTTTTAATTAATTTTTTTTTAAATAAATATTTCTACTCACATACCCTAATTATCGACTCTCGTATTTCTCCATTCTCAAACAAACCATCACCTCTCCCTAATCATAAGAAACTGTTGCCTCCTTTTCTCTCTCTCAACCCTTCCTCGGCAACACAACTCCGGCATTGGAGGCGCGGTTGTCCCTTCAACCTGTGAAGTTGAGGCGTGGTGTTCATAATGGTTTGCAATCGCCTCGATTTTGTTGCAACCGAATCTGCAACGCACTATGTAGCGGTGTAGTGGTAGGCGGCGATGGTGGTTGTTATGGTGGGTGGTTTGTGTGTGGTGTTGAATTTGGAAGGACAGTAATGTGAAGCAGTGATTTGCAACTGTCTCGATTTTGCTGCATCGCTGATCTATTGAATCTGCAATGCGCTGTGTGGTGATTGTGAGATGGTTGTGGTGCTGCGACGGTGATAATGGTGTTGGTGTGGTTGTGGTGGTGATAATGTTGGAGTTGATTTTTTTATGGTTTTTGGTTGTGGTAGTTGTGGTGGTTTTTGGTGCTAAGAGTGTGGCGGTGGTGCTGTTGGAGGTAACATTGAAGTGGTAGTCGTAAGTAGCGGTGGTCATCATAGATTGTTTGGTTGATTGTGACCAGTGAACTCGTGACCAATAAACAATATGTTATTAATGAAATGATAAATTGTGACCAAAAAATAATATGCGACCTAAAAAATTAATAATTTGTGACTATCCAATAAGTTGTGACATATAATATTTGTAGTCTGTGATTTATAATTTTTGTTATTTGTGACCGAAAAATGAGTTGTGATTAATTAACTTTTTGATTTATAACAGATGAACAAGTTGTGACCAACAAAATTTTTGAATTGTGATCGTAAAATAATTTATGACATAAAATTTCTGATTTGTGACAAAAAATAATAATAAGTGATTAATTAAATTATTAATTTGTGACCAAATTGTATAGATACGTGACTTAAATATATTTAACTAATAAAATAATTTATTTATTTATTAAATTATAAATAAATTTTAATAAAAATCAAATTTTTGAAATTTAAAACTTGTTTTCTTAATTTTGAAATATGACATACTTAATCTCTTACTTATGAATTTTTCACTTATTTTATTTGTTCTTCATTTGTATGTATACACTTTTTGTGTCTGTATTATTCTTAATTCTTATTCTTGATTGTAGTTATAAAATTGAATTTTGATTTAGTTCTACAATTATTTTTTTATAAACTTAGCCAATAATTTATATGTATGTATTCAAAAGAATCAATAGTTATGTCACTTCAAATAGAAAGTGTGAATCTGATTATATAAAAGAGAAATTTATGCAATAATCTATTTTAATGTATGAATAAGTTTTTCAAAGTTCAAATTGATTAAGTTTTATCTTCAATCAACCATGTTACAAGAGCGATTGAATGAATTAGTTATAGTTTCTATTAAAAAAATATGTTGGAAAAACTTGATTTCACTAGTTTGATTACTAATTTTACATCTTAAAATGTGAAAAGGTTAAACCTTATGCTAACCTAATCTCGTGGGTTGTGAGAGAAGTTTTATTTTAATATTCTATCTTTCGAATTGTATAAAGTGTTCTTTTTAATATAAAAGTAATAATTATTTAAATATTTACATATTATTGCACTTGTAAAATAAATAATATGTTGAAGGGCCCCATAATAACTATACGTCGGGGCCTCTAAATTCTCGTGGCTGGCCCTGATATTCCTAATATCAAGAAAATACTAATGTGTATATCTGACAATATTTGAAGCATCTTTGGCACCCCTCGATCGACCACACACTAAGAAAAAACTCGTGATTGAATATCTATTGTCTTGTCTCCGGGTCGTACATTCAAAATTCATAGTTTAACAACAGGATTGTGTTGCATTGTGCCTCTCTCTTCTTTTACTCTTTAAGTATAGTAACAAGTGCCGAATTTTAGTCCTTTTCAAAGTTACTGGTAACGTTTATAGTTTATGACTTATGCATAATTTATCAATATCGTATCACTTTTATGGTCGAGAGCTTAGAAAAAAATTCCTGCAATCTTCATTCAGACTAGTTGTTTGTTAGAGAATGCGTGATTAAAAAATATGAAAAAATTTTGAATTTGCGTATACAATTATTTTATAGGAGAATGATTCTGAAAAAAATGAGTTTTTGTAAAAATGGGGGCCAAACATAGGCATAACTTCAAGAAATCTGGAGTTGCAGCCCCCAAAATTTTTTCAAACAAAGCACCCAAGCCCCAATCGTGTTCGACGACGGCGACTGCAAATTTCCCCTCATTTACATGGCTGAGAATACTGCTTAAACAGACCATATGCAGAGAAGTTCTACATCTATGCAATGAGATATTTGAATGCAAATGTGTATGTAAACGTTTCTTCAATTATTTTTATCATCAATACATTTTTTTGTATAATAATTATGGTAAGAGTCAGGAGATCTGATTATGTTCCCACAAGCCAATGTATGCAATTTCATCAGATGTAACAAGTGCTGGACTTGGGGTACGAAAATAATCGTAAAACTCTCTCGTCTCAACAATATCAGCCGTCTCCACTGTGCACGAGCCTTGGTACCAATTTCCTATATCGTGGCATGGAAAAGGACTTTCTTCCATTACATGAAGCCAGTTTACATCTTGAATATCGTCTATCATACTGTCCAGACACTGATAATTATCTTCCAAGGGCGAGTTCTTCTCCATCTCCATGGAGTAAACTTTATCATCCAGCGCTTCTTCCTTTGGCTCTTCAAGTAATTCTCTAAGCATTGTCACATCAAATTCCGTCATTTCTAGCTCTTCGAGTTCGTCTATGGTGGTTGGTGAAAATTGAGAACCAGTCGATAAATCTGAGGCCATTTATTGATTAAGGAAAGATGAATAAATCTATAAGGAAAAGTGAATTCAAAGATGAGAAGAAAAAGAAAGGGAGAAAAGGAGACAAGGGTTGGACAAGCTATGTTGAGTGCAGACTGATAGTGTATAAAGTTCATTGAGATGGAATAGGCCTTAAATAGCCTCCATTTACATCCAATTCAGATACACCATCAAGTTTGATTGTGTTGTGTACCTAATTATGTTGCAAAGTTTTATTAGATATTATCAAAAGCATAAACATAATATCGTCGTGCCTCACGCAAAATGAACTACACGTATTGAAGACTAAATTCAACTTCTAGACGAGACGGTTCAACATGACATTAGACCATATGCCTCCCTCCTATGAAAATCATGTTCGTATCAAATTGCGTTCACAAGTGAAGGAATATGTTGTAAATTAAATAAACTAAATAACCCGTCAGGTCTAAATTTTTAGATAAGGCAATTTTACGAAATAAACTAATTAAATTAAAATATGTTTGTTGACGTCATCGTCGGATTCTCTCAATTCTGACATGTTATTTTTGCTTAGAATCTAGTCCCATTCATTATTTCAGTAGACATATTTATAAATTAATTGTTTATAATCACGAGCCAAACTAAAGTTCGATTAATGGATCACCATTTATGTTGAAAGTGATAATCGTTTCATTTATTCACTTTTTGAGGAAAAAAATCTATGCATATATACAATTTACAAAATAGAAAGTGATAATTCTTGATCTTACAAGTCTGCTATGCTTATCTGTTTTTAGATAATAAGTGAAAACGAAATGTTTGGTTACATTTTCTGGTAGAAAAATCGAGAGATGATGTGTAGGGCCCTCAAAATGGCAAATTGGTAGGCATACGATATAGCTTTTGTTAATAAATAGAAAAGAAACTCGATCGATTGTTTTTATCAAATTCGAACATTAGAGTTTTCTAGTAATTACTTGAACGTGTCATTATTGTCGTAACTATAAAGTTTCATTTTAAAAGTTGACGTCTAAAGTAACCTATCGATTTATAAAGTCAAAAGTATGTCTTCGATAAATTATAATGAGAGTTGGATGATATGTTGTAAGGAAAATAATATTTCTTCCTTAATTGCAAATAAGATAACGAGATTCAAGTAAATAAAATGAACGGCTTGTTAAGAAAAATAAGCTTACATACAAATATTCAAACTATTACGAAAGCATGCAAAAGCTGTTTAAAAGGTACAAACTTAACATTGATTTATGTCATCTTCGAATATAGTTCTTGTGACATTCATCTATCGACTAGTTCAGAAGGGGAAAAAAATACTCGATGGTATTGAACACGTCTTAATGTTTCAAAATTAATTTTTTATGTTATGAGTATGTATCAATATGCGAACGTAAAGCTCATTTAGTGATTTTTTGTTTAATTAGGTACCTGAATAAATCATAATTGAATAAATAAAAAGCTACTTATACATAAAACAGGTAACATGACATTTAGGTGCCACGTGAATTCCTAACCTTATCAAAAATGCAACTTGTGACAATTACATGAACCTAACTCAGGTTCCTAGAACCAACACGAAAACAGTTGGGGGACCATAAAAATTAAAAAGTGTTGCACTTTTAGGGAAAAATATTAAAAAGAAAAATATAATATAATAGGATGTATTCCAATTCACCCAACCCCATAGATACATAATCATGTGAAAAGTATTAAGATTCATATGTTGATAATTTATTTTTATTTTATTTTACATGATATTTATTTTTTTCTCACAAAATGGGGACTAGTTTGAGAGTGTCAATCTTGATAGCCTTTGATATTATTTTGACACTTGATGTTCAAAATTAAAACGACAACCTTATTAAGAGGAATAATTCACTTTCTTATGACACGGAATTTATGCCTAACAAAAATATGTGTTTTCTCTTTGAGAAAGAAAATTTTGTGGAAGAATACTTTGAAAGTCGAAAAATAGAACAATTCATTGAAAGGGTCGAGTGAGATGCACGCTATATATTAATAGATGGTTGGGACGGTATCCTTCTTTCGGGAACAAGTGCGAATAAAATTGACGATTGGCCATTTTTTGTCCAAGAAATCCATTATGAGGGTATTTCAAGGCCATTTTATACAAGGTATTTTTAAATAAGGAAAAAAAAATGACAAATATAAAAGTTCGACAAAATATTTAGCCTCATTTCAAGGCATGCTAACAGAATATTTAGACGGAGTCGTGGATATGACATGCTAATTAATTGAAGGCTAAGAAGAAAAAATGACAAAAATCAAATGTCAATGCAACAATGAGCGAAGATTGAGAACCTTCGTTGCAATTAAAATGCAACGTAACATACAAAAATTATCGTGCAAATACAATTACCCAAAGAATTAGTCAACGGAAAAAAATGCTACCGCCAGTTGACACTTCAGTACTTATTTAGCTCCCGTTTGACCCTCATTAATTTTTATTTCATTACATTTTATTTTTCTCTCTTCTATTTTCAATCGCATAATCTTCCATAAAATAATATTACACGTAAATCGAAAATTTTTCCTTCTTTTTCAACCACTCATTTTTCAAAAAAATACTATTCCACCAATTTTCATTACCACAACATGGGTGCCTTAATTTTAATGACGAACAAACCTTCATATATCAAACTTGTAGTTGTAAACAAAACACGTGATTTTTAAGTTTTATTTTTCGTCTAAAATAAGTGTTGAATCCATCTAAATGGAAAATTTAGACCTCAAAAATTAAATAAATATAAGTTAAATATAATTTTTTTTTTTAAGTTTTATTTTTCGTCTAAAATAAGTGTTGAATCCATCTAAATGGAAAATTTAGACCTCAAAAATTAAATAAATATAAGTTAAATATAATTTTTTCTTAAAAAAACAAAAGATAAATGTGAAAAAATAATTAAAAAACGTTAAATCCCCTTGGAGCTGAGTTGAAAAGGTGATATTCGTGTGCTTTTAGAAGGGTAATTTTATTCGATATAATTGATATCAAATACCAATTTATGTGATTCTCATGTGACATTAATTGATAGATTCACTTAAATTTAATACCACATGATTCATTTAATTGAATATATCAAATGTGACCACCTGAAATGATTGTTTAGCACTGCTAGTATTAGTAGCATTATTCCTTTAAAAATGGAGATAGCAGGAGTTTTTTCCAAATCTTTTAGAACAAATGACAAAACTTTTAAAATCGAGTTGAAAAATGATGAAACGTATAGTTGAAAAGTTGTGAATTTTATGAAATATGTGGTTTAAATTAATTGTTGACGTTAACTTATATTAAATTCTAAATTTTAATCATCATATAGAGGTTAAATTTATTGTTTAAAGCTAATTTGATCTCCAAATGTAATTATGACGTTTGAATGAGCCCTTCCAAACATGGAAGGATGATTCATTTCAATCAATACTTTCGTAACAAATCCTCCTCTTTGATTTGTCCTTGTGATTTTTCTTTTTTGCTCTTTCATTGAAAATAAGGAAACAATGTTTTGGATAATAATATTTAGAGTTTACGCACATAATATTTTATTATGTAAATATGTAATTGAAAATGAATATGTAGAAAAAATAATTTCTAAATAATGGTTGTCAATCATTAGCATATTAGACACTGTTGGATTTCATTCATAATTTCCTACAATCGCATGTTAATTTGAAATTTCAAATCTATAATTACTACTTTTTTATTCGATGAATGCTTGCATTTTTAACATGCTGTCATAGATGTGAACACATTCCCAAACGCGCCATCGAGATGTCGTCAAACAAATGATCATCACAACAAACACATACTCTAGGAGACTAGGACCAAACATCACCGTTGTAGCCCCTGTTTGATCCCCATTACCTAAAAATGAAAATGGGGGGAATAATATTTTTTAGAAAAATGAGTGGTTGAAAAAGAAAGAAAAATTTTCGATTTACGTGTAATATTATTTTATGGAAGATTGTGTGGTTGAAAATAGGAGAGAGAAAATGAAATGTAATGTAATTTAATTTAATGGGGATCAAACAGGGGCGTATACTGACACCATTGCCAACACCATCATTCACTGTTAGACTCCACCGCTACCCAAACACCCAAATCACACTATTCATGTGTGTTCTTTGAGCATTTTTTACTAGGAAGGAAATAATTCTTAAACGAAGAAAGTAAAATTCTGGGAAGATGAAAATTGACAGCGTAAATTAACATTGCTTGTAAATTATACTAATTCCCGTTTGACAACCATCATAAAGAGAAATTTTGGGAAAACAGTGTTTTGAAAATAGCGATTTTATTATTATTATTTTTTTTAAAGAACGTGTGGTTAAAAAGTAGGAAAAAGTTTTAGATTTACGCGTATATTTTATTGTGTAAATGAATAATTAAAAATGAGTATGAGAAATAAAAAGTCATGTTTTAGTGGGAGTCAAACAAGGGCTAAGTGTGAATTTTTATATTAGAAGAGAATGTGAGATTTTTTCGTTGAATGAATGCCATGTAGCCTCATCCTGAAGGCCAATTCGTCACCATCATTGTTGTCACCTCTGTATTATGCTTAGATGACATTTTTTTTATCGATAAATGTAAGTTACTATAGATAAAAAACATGTACAAGTACACTAGACATATCCGGGCAAACAAAAGACTGAGCAATAACAAGTACACCGGCCAAACCCAAGTTAGCAAAAATTAAATCCAACGACAAGTAAACCGAGCATACCAGAGTGAATAGCTAAACAATTAACATGAAATGATGAACAAATACAAGAGATCTAAATGTCTAATGCCAATGACTCAAATTGAATTAAAATATACGAATACAAAGAGAACATAACTTTTTATACGTGTGTTTTGATCCTACGAACAATGCTTTCAACATTTGGTTTTAAATTCTCAAAAATCCTCGAGTTATGCGCCATCCATAAGTTGTAAACAGTACTAGCAAGAGCGATCCGCTTAACTTTACTTTGTCACGTCGTTCCTCGAGCCTCTTTCTTCATCCACTTCAATGCACTTGGTAGGGTAGACATGGAGCGCCTAATGCCCAACCAATCTCGGATATGTCCCCAAACTGCAAAACTGATTGGACAAGAGAAAAACAAACGATGCTCAGTCTCATCAGCAACTCCACAAAAAATACACCTTCGGTCAATATCCAAATGTTTCAATTTATCCTTTGTTAGTAACTTAGATTTAGCTCCTAATCAAAGGATGAATGCATGTTTTAGGGTGACATGGGAGTTCCAAATTATTGCTGTCTAGGCATTTTTTGGCCCCTTTGGTATGAGAAAATCATAATCTGCTTTGACACAAAATTTGTCGATGGATGTGCATGTGATGAAACTGTCCATTGCAGCCGTAGAGACTGTTTCAAGCCGTGTTGTGTGATAATCGGCCTGATCTAGTAGTTGAGGCTGTGCAAATCTGTCACGTATTTCCAGCAACCTTTTAAGTAATGGAGAGTCATCTTTCTTTGGCATGTAGTCCTAAATATTCCTACCACCAAGGAAAATCATATTTACCCACTTCACCCAAAGTGTATATTTTTTTGCAATGAATCATATTCACCCACTTCACCCAAAGTGTATCTTTTTTTGCAATGAATGTTCCAATGAGTTTTAGCGAGAATCGTCGAATTCCAGCATTTAATTTCCCTAAATCCAAGCCCCCCTTCTTGTTTAGGTAAGCAAATACTACTCCAAGCAACCAACGATTTTTTTGAATCCCAAAGAAAGTTACGGCATAGGCTGGTAACCTTAGATGCCACCGTAGATGGAATAGGTAGAATGGAAAGCCAAGAACATACAACACCTTGTAGGATGGCTCTCAGAAGTTCCACTCTCCCCGCAAAAGATAATGTAGCCCTCGACTATGCTCCAATGTAGTCCTTAGTTTTGTTAATAAGTGAGTCATAGGAGCTGATTTTAAGTTTTATCGCGGCAAGTGGAATCCTTAAGTAGAGGAAAGGCATAGATCCTTTCACTAAATTTGTCAGTTGAACAATATCCTCCAACTCTTGTCGATGGACACCTGCCGTGTACAAGTTTAATTTGTTAACATTCATCTTTAATCCGGACATATCTCCAAAGTTGGATAAACACTCCATCAAAATACCAACCGAGATAGCATCACCTCTAGCTAAAAGCATCAAGTCATCCGCAAATGCTAGGTGGGTAATCTTCAAAGGCCCACATTTAGGATGGAAGTTAAATTCACTATTTTCAGTAGCTCCCTTTAACATTCTTGAAAGTACTCAAGGCAAATAACGAACAAGTAGGGAGAAAGCGGGTTACCTTGGCAAAGCCCCTTCTTTCATTTTATGAAACCATGGAAGAAATCATTCAATGCAATGGAGTACGAAGGCGTTGAGATACATTCCATCACCCATCCAATGAATTTTGTTGGAAATTTAATCCCTTCAAGCACACTTTTAAGAAAATCCCAATTAACTGAATCATATGCCTTCCTTAAATCAATTTTAAGAAGGCATCTATGTGCAATTCTTTTGCGGTTGTATTGCCTTAAGAGTTCTTGTGCAAGATGAATGTTTTTCGTCATGCTTCTGCCTTCCACAAATGCGGCTTGTGATTGATCAATAATATGTCCAAGAATAGGCCTCAATCTAGAAGCAATGATCTTTGTGATAACCTTATAGAAAATATTGCAACAAGTAATAGGTCTATAATCCCCAACACCAATAGAGTGACTTGCCTTAGGAAATAAAGCAATAGCCGTGTGATTTGTTTGCTTGAGGAGTGAGCAAGATTTGAAGAATTCTTTAACCGCTTCAATGAAATCACTCCCAACAATGCTCCAAGATTTTTTGAAGAAATATGATGTATATCCGTCTGGTCCTGGTGATTCATCATCGCCAATAAAAAACAATGCATCCTTAATCTCATTGTCCGAAATACCCCGAACAAGTGCCATGGCATGCTCATCCGATAACATGGAGCCATTCTTGAAGATATCAACATCAATAGCATTCCCCAAACTGTCTTTCCCCTGTAAATCAGTGTAGAAAAAAAGGAATTCATTGGCTACTTCTTGTAGTGATGAAGTATATGTTCCATCTCCTTTACTTACTGTAGCAATGAAGTTGCGTTTTGCATCTCTTTTGACCATCGAATGGAAGAACTTAGTGCATTTATTACTATTTTTTAGGTACTCGCATTTGGCCTTTTGATGATAAAAGCTTATTTCCACTTCACAAAGATTCATGACAATTTTTCTCATGGATGCCACCTTACCTTGAAATTCAATATTAAGAGGGTCCTCTTGTAACTCCAATTGTGCCATTTTCAAATTCAAAGTAGCCGTTTTAGCCCTTGAGAAGATGTGTGAAAAATGTTTCTCATCGAGCTTCCTTAGCTCTTATTTAAGAATACGCAACTTCTTACAAAGAATGAATTGCTTTGTACCTCTCATCTCTTGTTCCCAACAATTTTGCACAACATCATGGAAATTTTCATGATTAGCCACATATTGAAGAACCTAAAAGGTTTCCTCTTGTTCTCCTCATGCATAAACAATGAAATAATGCACAGTGAGTGGTCGGAAATGTATCCCGAAGGGAGAAAATTAGCAATACAATTAAAGTCCGCTTGCATCCAAACCTCATTCATCATAGCTCTATCAAGTTTACTCCACTTCGTACCATTTGTCCAAGTGTGGAAGCATCCAGTAGATCTCATATCGGTAATTCCAACATTAAGGCAACAACTTTCAAAGTCTTTAATCTCGTAAGGTGTAACATCCACCCCATTACATTTTTCATCAAAGTTAAGCACGTTGTTGAAATCACCCAAGATTACCAAGGGATAGAGCAATTGGATCCTTATTCCATGATATTGTTCTATAACGGTCTTCTACTAACAATAGTATGGAACGCATATACAAAGCTAACAAAAAATGTACGTGAGCTTACCTTGCAAGTGGCGGAACAATGAATAACTTGTGATGTAGTCTCCAATATCTCTAAATCAACGTTCATCGAGTTCCACAAAATCAAAATCCGACCAGCAAGATGCAATTGAAAGTTATTCGTTTATGATAATCCATCAAATTTATTCCGCATGATCCGATTTAATTTCGTCTCCCCCAACTTTGTTTCCAAAATCCCCATAACATCAATATCATGTTGCTTAATGAAGTTACAAACCCCATTTTGTTTTAGGGGGGATTTCAAACCCCTAATGTTCCATGAGGCAATTTTCATGATGATATAACGAGGGAATTATCCCTCTTCCCATCTTTTTTGGTAGTAGTGGCCCTTTGCTCGTCAAGCTTTGCTTTTAATTTTCTATTACAACCATTTTCTGTGATCTGCCCAGCACAATCTTTGATGGAATTCAGCCCAACACAATCTATCCCCAGTTCAGTATTCTGCTGGTTTCGTGCTGCCGGCTGCCTGCCGCAGTCGCTGGCCGCAAGCTGCTAGTTGCGTGTACCTGCGTTCAGTCCTTTCTGCTGATTTTTCCCTTCTTGTTAACAACTTCAGTGAATGAAGTATCCTGATCATCCTCCTGTTGCTGTCCATTAGAAACTGCAAAATTCTGGCTAACTTGCACTTTTTCCTTATGTGCAACTGGCTTGGGGGCTTTCATTCCCTTGCCATTTATGGTATTTCCTTTATCACCTGCAGCCTGTTTATTGTAGTTGCAACCAATAGAAGAGTGCCCAAACACTTTACAAGAACCACAAAATTTTTGTTCATGCTCATAAAGAATTTCTTGCTCCCTCAAAATTCCATTAGGGAGCCTTATCTTTACCACCCGCACAAGCTCTATAGATGCATCGATTTCGACTAATGCTCTTGCATGGGATAGTCTGCCTCTAGTTGTCGTGACCTTATCGGTCGAGATGGGCATACCAACTTTGGAGACAATTTTACCTAAGGCACTCATGTTCCAAAATTCCAATGGCAACCCCGATAAGTTGATCCAAACCGGCATGGTGCTCACGTCTTTGTCATCAAAATCAAAGTACCGTAGCATGACTTTAACATTAATAGTCTCCCATAAACCAAGTAGGGACCACCATGCAACACCCTTAGCCTTTCCGAATCCATCTCAAACTTGAAGACCAACCACCCGCTCGAGTACACATAATATTTGTAGCTAACCTTCCATGAATCACATAATTGTAGTAGAGCCACTTTCCCTGAAAATCTTCCGACAAAATACCCCACAAGACCATATCCCCAAGTGTTCTTGATGTTATCTTCATCTAATTCATCCAAAACCACTTCTTTCGATTGATTTTCAAAGGCCTTCAATTTAATATTTTCTTCCACTTTCCTATTGTCCTTGAAGAGGTTAAGCCACGATGTTTTCACAACTTTTGCATCGTCAATCCCAGCAGCGTTTTCCCCTTGTTTGTTCGTCAATTCCACCTAATGTGACTCAAAATCAGAATTTTCAGATTCCATAGCCTCTTCTCCAAGTATTAATGATACGCTAGATGAGGGTAAAATCTCCTTGTTATTATCCTTCAAACTGCCCTTCAAGGGGGCGTCACCAGCATCACCACTAACCACCCTCTGAATGGCCTGTGGTTTAAGAGGTGCCAGCCCACTATAATGGCTGCACCACTCTTTTTCTTATCCATGCACAGTAGAACCGAAAAGCACTAGGCCAGCAAGATAAAAAAAATTCTGGGACAAAAGAAATAAAGAGTAGGAACACTGACCCAACATAGGCCAAGAAAGATATGGGCTGGTCACCTAGAAACCACATTCAGCAAATAGGCCCAGAGTAGAAATAGGAAAAACACAAGGCTGGTAGAGAAAAAGTCTGGGAGTCCAGAGGAAAAGGCCCAAATTGAGAGAAAAAACCCAAAAGTCAGCCCAACACGGGCCCAAAAATAAGGATATGGACCATATCACCTGGGGATACAGCAAAGCCAGAATTGGAAACTTCAAAGGAACAATAAGTCTGCAAAAATAGAGCCCCAAACACTGTCTAAGGTAGCAGAAGTTAGCACACCAACCCCTGACCGTGTGTAGAAATCTGAAAAGTAACTTAGAAAACCAAATTCAAATTCAGCTTAGAAAACCAAATTCAAATTCAACTAGAAGAAGTCAACACTGATACATACACCATGCAAGCTGAAGGAACACGAAGAATAGCAAGAACTGAAGCTGGAAAACTGGAGAAACCCGGCTGTCAAAGGTGAAAACCAAATCGAAATAGCTTGGGAAGAAAACCAACAGAAAACGACCACAGTCCAAGCACAAAAACCTAAAGTCCAGAAACCAACAAAGCAGAATCCAACAAGAGCAAAATCCAGAATGCAAGCTAAAACAAGCAAGAGAGACCAGCCGAAACCTCAACTAATTGGATGGAACAACTTGAAACCTCCAGCACACACCGTGGCTTGTGTGAAACTATAACAGAACCTGACCAGAAGCAAAAAAGCCAACCAAGAACAGCCCAGGAAGTGGAACAACGTCCAGAACCTGAACTGAGTTGAAGAACCAATCGACAGCTTACAAAACTTTGCAAAAACTGAACATAAACTACTTGAATGCCCTCCAAAATTGGAATAGAGAATGATCAAGTAAAATACAATATGTTAAAATTCAATTTTCACCAAAAGGAAGTAAAAATTGAACCTAAATATAAGAAAATCTCAAGAAACTAAGGCACTCAAAGTGGGATTTTCTCTCACTAGAGTTGAGAGCATCTCTCTCTAATCTTGACTTTTTAGTGGCGTATTCTCCATTCTCTCTCTATATCTATATAAGTGTGTGTATATTGCTAGGGAGAGAGAGGGAGAGGAGCTCGATGACATCTAATAATTCGGAATGTGTCCACCCTATATTAGGTTTAACATCTGAAAAGTAGACATCAAGTTGATCGATGGACGTTTGTTGCAGAGATACCAAACCAATCAACAAATATTTAGGAGAGGAATATATCAATGCCAAAAGTTGTCATCTATAAAATATTGACAAATCGTACGAAGGATCTATTGTTGATGTAAATCTATGGGAAATGCCTTGTGAATGAAAGGCTTATCGCTTTGGAAACAAGCTGTGGAAAGATCATGACAACCCGTCTTGGTTATGAAGGTTTGGTCCCTATACATTGCGCTGGTTGAGGTGAAGGCATCACTTCAGCTTCTCCTTTGCATGGCCTTGATTGAGTTGTGTAAGCAAGTGATATTGGAGCGTGAGCCTTAGAGGACTTCTTAGCTTGTAGCCACGTGGCTAGGGACATGAGGTATAACATGGGGTATTTTTCAAAAACTGTAAAAGGGTTTATTTTTAAGCTCCATTTGTCTCTCTCTCTCCCCCTTTTTTTTAAATTTTTTTTATCAAAACTCTTATTTTCAACTACATATTTGCACAATCAAATTTTTTCCTATTTTATAACCACACATTTTCCAAAAAATTACTATTTAAAAAATCAATTTCCCTCAAAAACTCTTTAAAAAGGGAGACAAATAGAGGTTAAGAGTCCGTTTGATTGCAAATATGAAATTTGGGTGGAAGGAAAACAAATTTCAGGGAATTAAATTTCCTAGAAATTGTTATTTGAGAATTGTAAATTATTGTGTTTAATTGGTATAATTTTTCACGTGAAAAATGTTGAAATAAATGTGTTTTTTGGTGTTGGTTTGACTTTATTTTATATGAAAATTATTAATTAAAGTGATAGATTTTACTGGTATTGGGGATAAAATTTGTTTCCATTACCAAAAAAAATAAAAAATCAAGAAAATCATTCATCTTTTGGTGTTCGTTTGACTTTATTTTACATGAAAATTGTCAATTAAGGGGAAATATATTTTTTACAATAATTCTTAAAATTTATTTCCATTGCTAACAAAAAAAAATGGCAGATCAGCTTAGAAAACCAATTCCCACCAATTTCTCACCATATTGGTGGAATTGGTTTTCAAGAAAAACCAAGAAAATGTCACAAACCAAGAAAGGGAATTCTATGGGAAAAAATTGTTATTGAACATGATAAAAAGTGAAAGTTGGAAAACGAATTCCATTTTCCATGGAATTGGGTGCCTATCAAACATGTCCTAAGTTCTTTGGGCAAAGGTTGGGTATTACCTATTTCAAAAAAAAGGGTGG